ATAATTAACTTTGGTGAGAACAGTGAATCCGAAAATTCATCATTTGATTTTTGAAGTAGCGACTCAGAATAATGTTCCATAAATAAACATTAAATTACCAAATTATTGTTTTTTTTTTTAAGAACCCGTAAATAACTGTATTTGTATTTGTACCCGACTGTACCTCTTGTCACGCGCACAAAGTCACTGTATATGTACAAGGTATATAACGTTATATAAATACTAACGAACTATAAAAATAGATGTGTTCGTGATAACCCCCGATACGAATCATGCAAATCAAAAAGTGCAAAATAATTAAATAGTGTAACATAACTAATGAATATTTACTGATAACAATTTTAGTGATTCTTGGTATTTAGTATTGATCGGAGCGATCGCAATATGCAGAATTTTATATAGAAGACATATCGAAAGAATTTTACAGATAAGATTGAGAAACATTAAGAAATCAGGTAGAATAAACTGACTCAAGAAAATAGCGGACTATAAAGCGATGATAATTTGAAAAAAATCGGAGAGCAACCGGGAGAAGTCCGTGTCCAATAGAGCTGCTGGGAGCTGTTCCTAATCTGTAGAGCTGCCGGGAGTTGTTCAATTCTATTCAATTCTAGGAACGAGATATGTTCGAGATAAGGCGCGATATAAAGTTTATTTAAAAGTGACGAAGTGAACCAATAACGGTATGTATTCAATGAAATGGAGCCGGGAAGATTAAGAATTTATTTTGAAAATGTATGTACTTGAATATGTCATATTATAATGAAAAATTACTGCGGATATCGAGTAATATCCGAATAATGATTTTGTAAATAATGTGACCCGTAAACGGTTCCAAAAACGGCCACGCCACCTTTTATGTCGTATCTCTTTAAGGTGTGGAACTGAAATCACCTTTGCTTAAAATTATCTTTTTTTTTCAGGTACAGGCCAGGTGGGCCAATTTCGCTGCAGAACAGGCAAATGCCGCAGCAAATCTTATAGCCGTGCTATTGGAACATGGTTTGAGAAAGTGCTTTTGCCATTACCAATCATGTTTCATGTTATGTACATGTATAGTTCCGATTATACATACGAATTAGTAAGACGGGAAACTAGTCACTATAGAGATATAGTTATATCTCAGGCAACAATAGCCGATTGGTACAACTACTGTAGGGAGGCAGTAGTTGTACATGAATTAGAGCATTGTGAAGAAAGAGAAAAAATTGGAGGGCCAGGAAAGATTGTACAGATAGATGAGTTTGGAAGGAATTTGGAAGGCGAAAATACAATTGAGGCCGCAACATAGAAGGGCATTGGGTATTAGGCCTCATTGAAGATGGGAGTGACGACTTGCGGTTGGAAGTTTGCCCTAATAATGAAAGAAGTGCAGAGGTGCTTATATCTTTAATAAAAAAACATGTTCGGGAAGGCAGTATCATCCACACCGACTTTTGGAAAGCCTATGACTGCCTTCCGGAACATGACAAAAAAGTAAACCATAGCGACCCCATTAACAAATTTGTGGCATCAGATGGGGTCCATACACAGAGGATCGAATCTCTTGCCGAGTGATGAAAAGATTATTTAATAAAGAAAATTATTCAGAAAATTTCACAGAATGGCTTATTGAAGCAATATGGAAAAGAAGAAATAAAATAAACCATAAAGACCCATTCGAGGAACTGTAAAAATGTATAAAATATGTTTATGAAATAAAATAATATTCAATAAAAATTGTTTTACTAGAAATCCCAATGGATTTTCTATATAATTTAATGATTATCAATTAAGTATTCAGTGAGATATCATTATCTAATCTAATTCAATGTTTTTTTTTATAGATTTACGATACTTTGTTTTTTTCTGACATTTATATCTTTAAAACTACGCATTTCTGAAAGGGAGGGAGGAGGTGTACCGGGGGTATATCATCGGCGTAAGTATTCCACCCTTATGTTCGATGCACGTAGCGGCAACGCCGCATTTCATAGACAAAATCGAAAATAAGATATGTTTCGGAAGAAGTGTCATATGTTACTGAGTTTGACGTTTTGTTGATTAACGTTACATGTGGTTATTCCTTGAACAAGACGCGAGTGATTTAGTGGAAGTTTACAATAACTTAATGAGTTAAATATAAACTAATATCAAAATGACAAGTAAGAGAGAACGCAGCACAAACTGGGAAAAAGAAAGTATATCTACTACTAACATATAATTTGTAAAATTGAGTACTTTCTTTTGAGCGAACACTTGTTATCACGTGGGGTATTGTTGATAAAACTGTCTCTTAATCAAGAATTGTGTTTGTTAATGTCAGGAACTATTAGAAGAGATCATAAAGCTTCATTTAGATGTAATAGAAAACAAGGACCTATCAACCAACACGAATACGGTAAAACTAAAAGCATGGGCTGAAATTACTAAGAAGTTAGTATTAACATTCATAATAGTTATTTATGATACTACTGTGGAATGTTGGTGTTAGTTCATTCGAACCCAGCGCCTCAGAGTTGGTAACAGTCGAAATATAAATAAAAAAACCTGTCAAGCGCGACTCGGGCTCAGGCACGAAAAATTACGTACCATTATCTATTAGGAAACGGAAATTTCAGACGAGTGTCATTTTTAGACTCGAGCAAGAGAAACGAGCATTTAACTATGTTAATAACTTTATATGTCAAATAAATAAATTTGTATAGCATCTATCTAATTATGATTTCAGGCTTAATGTCATGAATTCTAGAGAAAGAGACAAAAAACAATTGGTAAACCAGTGGGAGACTATGAAATTAAAAGTAAAAAATGAAATTTCCAACTATAGGAGGGAAGTTATAAAAACTGGTGGTGGTCCGCGCCCACCATCTCCCACTGCAGATGCGATGGAATTGGTTAGTTTATTACCTGCTAAGTTTGAGATAGATAATAATGAATTTGACTGTGATGGTATCAAGGTAATTTTTTTATAATTCTTTTTAAATTTGGTCGGTAAAATAAAATAAAATTTATCATTTAAGATACAAAATTTATATTTTATAGCTTCACTTGTTGCTGGAAGCACACAACGCCGAGTGCATCACCACAGCCGTCCGTGCCGGCGTTAGAAAGGTCTGCATCGCCTTCGTCGCCGTCGCGATCGCGATCAGCATCTTCATGGCGACCGCCTTCAACGGCATCGCCTTCATCGGCATCGCCATCGATGGCGATGCCGACTAAGGCGATGAATTAATCAAGAATTGTGTTTGTTAATGTCAGGAACTATTAGAAGAGATCATAAAGCTTCATTTAGATGTAATAGAAAACAAGGACCTATCAACCAACACGAATACGGTAAAACTAAAAGCATGGGCTGAAATTACTAAGAAGTTAGTATTAACATTCATAATAGTTATTTATTATACTACTGTGGAATGTTGGTGTAAGTTCATTCGAACCCAGCGCCTCAGAGTTGGTAACAGTCGAAATATAAATAAAAAAACCTGTCAAGCGCGACTCGGGCTCAGGCACGAAAAATTACGTACCATTATCTATTAGGAAACGGAAATTTCAGACGAGTGTCATTTTTAGACTCGAGCAAGAGAAACGAGCATTTAACTATGTTAATAACTTTATATGTCAAATAAATAAATTTGTATAGCATCTATCTAATTATGATTTCAGGCTTAATGTCATGAACTCTAGAAAAAGAGACAAAAAACAATTGGTAAACCAGTGGGAGACTATGAAATTAAAAGTAAAAAATGAAATTTCCAACTATAGGAGGGAAGTTATAAAAACTGGTGGTGGTCCGCGCCCACCATCTCCCCCTGCAGATGCGATGGAATTGGTTAGTTTATTACCTGCTAAGTTTGAGATAGATAATAATGAATTTGACTGTGATGGTATCAAGGTAATTTTTTTATAATTCTTTTTAAATTTGGTCGATAAAATAAAATAAAATTTATTATTTAAGACACAAAATTTATATTTTATAGCTTCACTTGTTGCTGGAAGCACACAACACCGAGTGCATCACCACAGCCGTCGGTGCCGGCGTTGGAAAGGTCTGCATCGCCTTCGTCGCCGTCGCGATCGCGATCAGCATCTTCATGGCGACCGCCTTCAACGGCATCGCCTTCATCGGCATCGCCATCGATGGCGATTTCGGAGCTGTCGTCATCTTCTAGCGAGCACACAAATATCAGAGCGTCTGACGCCGGTACGGTTGTTGGCACCGCCGCCATCGCTCGCTTTACAGCGAGCGACTGGCTGCCAATGTGGTGCCTGCGAAAGCAGGCACATAGTTAATTTTTTCATATAGTAGTTTAGTTTTTAATATTAAAAAAAATAAGTAAATATATTTTGTTTCATTTAGTCATTACTTCACATATTTCTAGTAATTCGAAATTCATTCTGAATATAGCAACAATCAAAACAATTATTGAAAGTTGCTTAGAATACTTTAATTACTTACCATTTATATTTAGATGCGGTTACTTATTTTCCTCATAAAAATGTTAACTGGTATTACAGCATAATCTATGTCGTCCAAGTAGAAGTTGAAGAAAATTACATAAAAAGGTATGTTATATATTTATACAAAGGACTTTAAATTTGACAAAGAGAACATTTCTTTGCTTCAAAAATATGCATCATGGTATAAGCTGTTAACAGAGTAAGGGCCGATTTTTCAAACCTCAGATAAAAGTACCAATAGTTAACTGAAGAATAAAGTTATTGGACTCTTTAGTCGTCGGATAAGTGATTGTCAATTTTTCATTTGATATTTATTCTATGAATAGCTATCCGACGAATAAACTTGTCTGTGAAAACGCTAACTTCACCAAGGTGAAACAACAATATTGAATGAACGTTAGAAGAGAGAAGACTATTTCTTTCATTTCTGACATGTCAACGTCGTGTCCAACGTCATTCAGATTTACTTTTGTAATATTCCGGTACGAGTGAGGTTAATTTGCTGTGTAGTGTGCTAATTCTTTCGTTATTACATACAACTATTATTATGGAAACTAAGAAGAGGGAACGTTCGGCGAATTTCAACAGTGCTGAAGTTCAACTTCTTGTTAGCCTCGTCGGGATAAACAAACTTATAATAGAAAATAAAAAAACGGACGCTATCACTAATAAGGATAAAGAATCCGCATGGAACAAAATTGAAACTTCTTTCAACTCGAGTTGGATCTCTTCAATTGAACGCTCCTGGAAAACATTAAAATTAAAATATGAAGGGGTTAAAAAAGGCACAAAAAATAAGTCCTCTATCCAAAGACAGGAGATGTATAGGACTGGAGGGGGTCCTTCCAATGCTCCTGAATTTACAGATGTGGAAGCAAAAGTTATGAGCATTTGCTCTAACATAAAAGGATTGGATGCTCGTCATGATAGTGATACCATCAAAAGTGGTAAGGATTACTCCAACATTTACGTAGGGTATTTATTATTTACAAGTTACACAAGAGTCACTCACGGTTTTAAAATATTTTCAGTTCCAATATCTATCAGCGATATGGTAATAATGGATGTAGACGAGTTAAGAGGTAGTGAAACGCCAAATAATGCAGAGGATATTGTCCACATTAGTATACCTGGTAGGTATTGTGTTTTGTGTAAACTCACCCAAGATTTTGTTTACTTTCACAACTACATTGATTGGTTATTCATTTCAGATATTAATGAATCATTAACTTTCGAACAAACAGATGACATCAAGATAATTGACAACGAGACACATAAAGGTAGCTTTACTTTTCAATACAATACAGTATATATTACATGTAAATAACAAGAGACAGTATGATTGTACTTAAGAAAAATGCTTTGTACCATGCAATGTTTTGTTTATATTGACAACTACACTGATTGGTTATTTCAGATATGAATGAGTCATTTACTGCAAACCAAAAGAATTTCTACAACAAGAATGATAACCTGTCAGAAAAAGGTATATATTATAGCTTTACTTTTTTGTAAAATACAGTTTATATTACTCGCTAATAACATTTTTATTTAAAAAAATAAGAGAAAAACTGTTATATGCGAACACCCTTCAATATTTATTTTTTTCTGTTTTTAGTCTTTTTTTATAGCGGCAACAGAAATGTATCATCTGTGCAAATTTCAAATGTAACTATCATGATTCATAGGATACAGCCTAGTGACAGTCTTTTTCTTGAGGGAATATGTTTACTTCAGTATATTTTTATGTTTTCAGAAAATAGACGGGATAAGTGGCACCCGAAAGCATTGAAATCGAGAGTGTCAAATGCTCTAAAAACTGACACTATTGTGTCAGTTTAATGCTTTATTCTATTAATTCATCTAGTTTGGTTGTGACACTGTCACATCCAAACTTGATGAATTAAGTTCAGCTCGCTTGGAACTTTTGCAAATTCAAATGGAGACTGCCAGAAAAGAACAGCAGCACCAAGAAGAGGAACACAAATTGAAAATGCAACATCAGGCTAATGATGAGAAGAGAAAACAAGAAATACATGCTTTACTACTACAAAAATTAAATTATGCTCCACTCTCAGATGATACTATTTGTAAACATCTCTAATATTATTTGTGACAATAAATTTTATCTTTACTGTTAATATAAAACTGCAAGTAATTCTGTCTGTTTATTTCCTTTAAACATCAAAATCACAGAACCATTTTCTATTATTAATCAGTAAAATATTATTCAAATTTTATTTTTTTATACTTTATGTATTGTTTATAGTCTGAATAATTTTTATAGTGTACATCCATGTTTCGCTTACACAAAATAAGAGATACTCTAGGATGTGTCTTAAAATTTAAATTGCAATGGGGCTGGTCATATCTCTAGGTATACAGATAAGATAGATGGAAGATGAAAGGATACTGAGGAGGCCTTTTCCAAAAGGGATTAGAGTATAATTGAGAATATTTTTTTTTTTTTTTGTGATGTTTCAATAAATGGCAATGGCAGGTAATAATTATTTGTTTATTTGCAGTTTTACATATAAACATATTATGAAATTAATGAATTAAAATATAATAATCCGTTAATTAAAATTTAATAATAAGCCTTCCGTTCGCCCACACTTGACTAGCCATAGCAGTTGGAGTTGCTGATATCTACGCATTAAATAGCATCATAAATACCAACGAAGATGATGAATACTTTAAATTAATTAAAATGGTAATAGCCAACGATACATTAAATATTTACTAACTGCGCGTAGAGATACTGAAAAAATATTTTGAAACCAAGTTTATGGGCGACAAAATGTATGTCAGCTGTGAATGTAATGTTGCGTACATATTTGAAAAAATATAATTGGAGAAAATATATAGTGCAGACATAACAAAATTATGTACAAATTTAAATTGTCCTATCAACCATATCAGAAGGAAATGTGCTTTTTTACGAGTACCACTTGATTTGAACAAAGATACATTAAGTGAATCTGCAAATACAATGCTTAGAAGTAATATGTCAAATTGCAGACACTTTGGCTGTGATGGCATTAGAAGCTTAAATTATACTTTGAAAAATATTGCTATTTTTGAGCCCAATCCCGAAGTATAAATTTGCATTAATGATTTACCACAAAACATATCTTTAACACGTTCTCTGCCAACGCGGTCAGTGCTGACCGCCAGTGAAGTTTCCCTTTGGGCCTATCAAAACTCACAGATCTGTCTAAAATTTGCCAATTTTTTTTTTGCTTATATGCTTTTGTCTGTAATTAAAATGATACTTGGTCTTAACAGAAATTAATTTGAGCCATTATTTACGGAAATCATGAACGTCAGGCAGCACTGACCGACGCGGTCTACAGAGTGCAAAAAATCGGTTTTCCGTTACAAGGGGCCGCGCGGGTCGCGGTGTCGGGTCGGCTAATCACCGCGTTCATTCGCTCGCGCTCGCACAGTTGCCGTCCGCACTTTGAGTGGACACGTTGTGTTGTGTTATTAAATCGACCGTACGTTATACTGCAGTAAATTAATTTGTTTTCGATAGTATTTGATATCACTATGGATGATTTTGAAATTACGCAAAATATTCTTACACAAATTGACAACATGGAAATCGATCTTCTCGACAAAACTTTAAACCTTATTCTCGACGATGATAAAGAAAATATTCTACCCTCCCGTGTGAAGAATAGGCGTTTGCGGATCCTATCTACCAGTGACGGAAGTGATGCCGCAATCCAGGATTTAGAAGCTATTTCATCGTCTAAATGGAGAGATCCAAAAGGTAATCAGCGAAATATAATTCCCTTTACTGAATGTTGTGGCATGCCGCCTTCTATTCGCACTTCAATGACAAACAGATCCCCAGCTGATTTTTATGCGCTTTTGGTGACTGATAGCCTTTTGCAAGAAATAGTTGAATGTACCAATGCTTTCGCAATAACTAAAATCAACACTACTGAAACTTCTAAGAATGCAAGAATCCGCTCATGGTCTGAAACAACTCTTTCTGAAATTAAACATTTCTTCAGCTTGATTTTATATATGGGTTTGGTAAAGCTGCCGAAACTTGCTGATTATTGGTCAACGGATGAAATTACTGGCCAACATTTTCCTCGAACTGTAATGTCTAGAAATAGGTTTGAGCTTCTCTTGCAGATGATCCACTTTTCCAAAGATGACGATAATAACAAATCGAATCGACTTCACCGCGTTCAACACTTGCTGGATACACTGAATGACAATTTCAAAAAGAATTTTATACCTGGTCAAGACATATGCGTTGATGAAAGTAAGGTTCCGTTTCGTGGACGCTTGCTATTTCGCCAGTACAATAAGCAAAAACGACATAAGTATGGAATCAAACTATTCAAACTGTGTACCCTACCTGGTTATACATTTAAAATCAATATATATGCTGGTAAACAAAACGAAGAAATTACTACACCTTTGCCAGGACTTACTAAATAAAGGGTATTCGTTATACACAGATAACTGGTACACAAGTGTACCCTTAGCCAGAGAGCTCCTGAAAAATGAAACTTATCTCATCGGAACTTTAAGAAAAAACAGGAGGCATTTTCCTAAGGTCGTCGTTTCCACAAAGTTGAAAAAAGGTCAATTTATAGCGAAAGAAAGTGAGGATGGGAAAACTGTTTTACGATGGAAAGATAAACGAGATGTGTTAGTGCTTTCCACAAAACATTCTACACGTTTTGTTTCCGTTGCCAAAAATAATAAGGTAACGAATAAGCCGGCTATCGTTATTGACTATAACAAAGCAAAAGGAGCAGTGGATTTAGCTGATCAAATGGCAGCATATCAAACTCCTTTGAGAAAAACCGTGAAATGGTATAAAAAATTGGCATTTGATCTGATGTTGAATGTCGCAATGGTCGCAACTTTGTCAAAAAGTCATAAAATCATGTAGCTACGACTTATTTAATTAGTCATATAAAAATATTCACAAGGCTGTCTTTCAAGAGTTTAAGAATGAAAGTTGGGATACTTCTAATAACGACAGTGATTAAACAAGTAATATGACACAATACGCAGTGAGAACCGCGTGTCTCTACCGCTGCCCGCGCTGAGTAGCGCGAGCCTCTGACCAAGTACAACAAATAAGTGCTAATGATACCAAAGGTGAATACCATATTACTGTGAGTGTCCAAATATTTCATATTTTTTACTTGAATTTTATTCTATATTTGTGAGTGTACGATATTAAGCAGGGGTTGGCGACTCACCGCAAGCGATCCTTTACCGCCACGGGTTCCGAGGGCTAGATTCTGGAACGGGGTGCGTCGACGCGAATTCACAGTAAAAAACCGTCACCCAAGGATTAAGGGTGGGGCTTTAGAACGAAGACAGCTAATCGCCTTCCCCATGGACAATAAAAAATTTACCGAGTATTGTGAAATGGTTCGGATGCTAGCTCGGTGCAATGAAAATGTGAATGAAGCAGTGAGACGTTACCGTGAACAATTTGGTGGTTCAGTTTCAAACAGAACGATGGTGTCGGCAACACAGCGTTTGCTAAACTTTGACACATTTCGTCTACCGACCACAGTAGACCGTGAAAGAGCTTCAATCCACAGTTCGAAGATGAAATATAGATGAAGTATACATCCTTATCACTTTAGGCGGTGTCAAGAACTTATGCCATCTGATTATGAGCTGTGCGTACCATTTTGTCAATCGCTACTTGAAGAATTGGACAGGAACATACTCTGGACTGACGAGTGTACTTTGACACGAGAAAGTTTATTTAACCAGCACAACCGACAGATGTGGGCACACGTTAATCCCTTATTAATCCCAAAAATTTATTTCAACACAGGTTCTCTTTAAATGTGTAGGCGGGAATAATTGACTCCTTTATTTTTGCCACGACTTAACGGCGAAACTTACATGGAGTTTCTAACAGATTAATGCTTGAATGGTAGGAAAAATACGATGTGCCTCTGAATACCATTAGCAGGATGTATTAAGCATGATGGTGCTCCAGCTTCTTCTTCAGTGGAGTGTACGGCGATACCTGGACAATGAGTATGGGAAGCGTTGGATTGGGCGCGGAGGGCCCGCGGTTTGACACCTCAGTGCAGTCATGAGTCATAATCTGAATAAAACTATATCATCTCGGCAATGTCAAGGACAAACGAGTCATACTAATCTCTCAACTCAGCCTCCAAGGAACAACTAATTTTGCCACTGAACTTTACGATTTCTTATAGATACTGGTGCAAGCTTAAGTCTCATAAAACAGTCAAGTTATAGTAAAGCGCCCGAATTATCTCGCGAAAGGTATAAATAACGCCGGATTTTGCTCCGAAACATTAAGTACATCTCAAATACATTTTTTCTTATACAATCTGTCTGGTCAACGGTGTCGGAGCCGTTAGGGGGTTGAAATGCAGTATGTTTTATCGATAAATCAAGCCCTATAAGTAGCTTTACTTCAACCATAATAAAATGGCAGCCATTTTGTTTTTTTTAATATTGTAGATGTAGTATTAGACTAATTTAGCTATAGCTACCTATGTAAATGTCCTAGAAACACAAAATAGGTCTCATTCGATAGCCAAACATGTAGACAATAAAGTAATGCAAAATATTGTCCAAACTTTATTATAAAAAATCGAGAAAAAATTATTAAACGATTATAATTATGTATTATTTTGTAATATTATTATTATTGTAATATTGTACTTGTAATATTATTATTATGTAGGTCAACGGCTTGAATTCTATAAAAAGCTAATATTGTTAAAAAAAACGCAAAAAAAAATACATAATTATTATCGTTTAATATTTTTTTTCTCTATTTTATAAAATAAAGTTAGGATAATATTTAGTATTAGTTTACTGTCTACATGTTTCTCTATCGAATGAGACTTATTTTGTGTTTCTAGGACCGCTACATGGGTAGCTGCTATAGCTAAATTAGTACAACATCGATGTTTCAGTTAAAACGAAAACCAAAATGGCTGCCATTTTATTATGGTAGAAGAAAAACTACTTATAGGGCTTGATTTATCGATAAAACATACCGCATTTCAACCCCCTAACGGCTCCGACACCGTTAACCAGACAGATTGTATAATGATACTT